GGCCCACACAGGAAACCCAGATGCTTAAACCAGCACACCAGCAACCTTTACCAAGTTAAAAGAATCTATCTTCTAAACACTTCCTCTGCAGAAAAAAATGAAGAAATCAGTTCCCAAATGTCATCCATCTGACTTAAGAAAAGCCAGCTGACCATGCACAAAGTATTACTGTTTAAGAACAGATGACTATTATGTCCTTTTTATTCCTCACGTAGGCTGATCACTTGCTTTTACATTCCCAAAAGAAAAGCCAAGAAAGTCTTAGGAAAAGTTCACACTTTGTTTTATACTTTAGGACACTCCAATTCCACTCACTCCAGCATCTCTAGTAGTTGAAAGTTCATGAAAGCAACTTTCCTTAAAACTGTTTTCCTTCACAGGACAGTATCAGAAAATATGGAGATTCCAAAAACCTACAATAAAGGAATTGGTGAGTTGCTGGCTCAGTGATCTCCAACTTCTGCTATTCTGGTAGCAAAGAATTTTAATGAAGATATTCTTGTATGTAATTTTAACGAAGGAAAGATCCAAATTTCCCTAGCACCAACAAACAGTTCTTGAACTGTGTTTCCCTGCAGGTAAGGTGTGTAGAAGGGTGAGAAAAAGAGTGCTCTATTCAGAAAGAGGAAACAAATAATGAATTATCTTTTGCCTCTTGTCCACTAAGTCTCATAGCATGCTTATTCCCTACAGGCTTCCTCCACCCGCATCCTAGCCCGCACACCCCTGCTCACAAGCTTTAATTTGTCTAGTTTCAAATTCCCCAAGCCTGTTATATCACTGCGCTAGCAAACTTATACAAATGGTTTAAAATTACACATTTTTAACAGGACTCACTGTTAAGACTTTAGATGTGTGTCTGAAAATATCATGCAGAGTTTTGTTAAATTACCTGCTATATATTTCAAATGAATATAGGAATTGCCAAACTAGATTAGGCAACTAGCCATTTGATTTCATAATCCAGTACTTTTCTTACAGCAGTAAATACCAGATGCTTCAAAGAAACATACCCACAAAAAAACCCTAAAGCTGACACTATCAAGCATCCCAGCCGTAAGAAAATTCCTCTGTTTTAAAATATGCTTTGAAGCTACAACTAAATCAACATAAAGCCATTCCCTAAAAGAGCCACCCCATTCTCCCCCACCCTCATGTACTAGAATTAGCAATTGTGTGACCACAAAATGGGTTGATGCAGCAAGCTATTCCAACAGAAAACTGTTAATTATTTGGGCAGAGTTAGTGTTCCATTGGATTAGCCAACTCAACACACAAATGCCAGATCCTGCAAACGAGCAGAGAATTTGGTCAACCTTTTTTTGAATTAGATTAGCTTAGCTACAACATAAAAGCGAGCCAAGAGAGACATGAAGTCCTTATACAAGGCAAGCAGCAACAGCAAGGCTGGAAAGGGACAAGAGGAACACGGCTGCTCCATTCCACAGTAGATCATTAGACTGGTTTAGCTTCAAGGATTTAGCTCTTCCTAAGAAACTTAGGCTACAGCCACACCATAGTTTGAGCCAGTTTAAATCAGTACAGCTGCAATATCACCCTCCACTTTTTTTCCATACATGCACTCCTGTCCATTCCTGTGCACCAACATTGTGCACGTCTGATTCAGTAACCATTTCAGCAGGTTCAGCCCACCAAAGAAGCAGAAAAATATTCGTTGTTTTATGCAGCTGGACTTTTCCACTTATTTTAACTCAGGTTTTGCCTTGGAGATCTACAGAGTACTACTGCCAGTGTGCAAAGGAAACAGGAATGCATGGCTCAGGTAGGCAGGCATGTACTTAAATAGGCGTAAACCATAGCTATTTTCAAAAACTATTTGTTGAATTTAAACTATTTCCAAAACAGTTTAAGCATAAATCAGTTTAAGAGTTCCCTTCTAAACGTAAAGAAAAAAGTTTAATTCTACATCTCTTAACTTGCATTTACAACCATTTTTGGACTCATGCTGTGTTGAGGATCTTGAGCCGCATGCAGGTTCATCACGTGGCCAGTAACACTGGGGCCCCCACAGGGGGTGCTTGGGATGCTGGGTCATCCCAACTTTCAGCTGCAGAAGGAACCAGCAGGGACTGCCGGGGCTACACTGTTGGCTTGCCTGGGAATCCAGCCCCGCCTCCCATCCAGCCCTGCAGTAGAGCAGAGCAATGCCCTGAGGAGTCGCTACTGCTGTGTCCACTGACTGAAACAACCCTACCTCTCCCTCTGGCCACATCAGGTACATGGCAAGTCTTACCATTCTCTGACGTACACAGATTTTGTAAGAGTCTCAGCATCGCAGAAGTTTTCCACATCTGTCTTTGGCTCCAGGCTTCAATGATATTTACATCAATGTGCTCTACTGTCAAGGTATACACCATGTAATTGGTGGAAGGGCCAATTTTCAATTTTGGTACGTACCCCAGTTCTGCTCAATTTTCCCAAGTTTAGAAGTGTCTTTTCCACTCTACCTTTGTGAGGTAATCATTTCAAGCTTTTTAATGTCCTATGCTAAATTTTTGGTCTCTGAAGTCTTCAGCCATGTTCCTAACAGTCAGCAAGTCCACGAAGAAGTATTACTGATTATATCATCTACAGAAATACCATATTTTTAAAGTTTTAAATAGCATCCTGTAATTTCCAACTTGACTTCGATTCTTTTAACAATTTACTTAAGAAATTGCCTAGGTTTTAAAGGACAAAAAAACCCCTCTAATCACAAGTGTGAGTATGTGAAAACCTAACTATTACTTCCTCCAATACCATGTATTACCGTCAGAGTTTGAGCCCTGTATTGCTAAGCTTTCAACACAAATAATGGTAGAACTGGAAGCAAAAGCAGGTTATTATCCACTGAAGAGACATTCTCTTCACCAACTCCTCTATGTTGTACAAAATTTTACTCAACCTGGAACCCCTCACACAACAGTAGATAACAGAAAGTGTACAGAATGCATTACCTCCTGGATTTTGTTCCAGGACACCTTTTCCTAGGCCAGCTGAGGACTTTAACAAGGAAAACGGAACACAAAACTTTTGCTTGTGTCCTCCACCAGAAATCTGTATCAAAACATGTGGGCAAGCACTAGGAAAAAAAAAAACTGGAAAATTAAGAGGGAAGATTTTTCATCCCTCTCCAAGAGAAAGAATTGTTTGATATAAGACAACTCCCACACCCTCCCCACCCCCAAAAAAAGAAAAAAAAAAGTCACAATTAGCCAGTCCAGGTTATTTATAAGGAAATTTCTACCTGCAATCTTTCAGCATTTTTACCTCACTCCTTTTCACAAGGTCAGTTTTTTACATAGTTTTGAATGAACACTTTATATGAAAATAATTTCCTTTTTTTGCATTCTCTTTCTAGTCATTTCCTTAATTTTTCTCATTCTTGTACTACACATTCCTCAGTATTAGTTTTCCAACTTGCATACTTTATCTTTTCTTCTTGCAATAGATGCAGCATTAGGAGACATTAAATGGAAGAGAGTAGAAAGGCCCACAATTCATGCTTGCCCTATTTAATTCCCCCAAAACAGGCAGGAGACAGGAAAGAAGAAAACATCACCAAGAAATAAAAAAAATACTGAAATGCTGAAGGACCAATTATGCATCTTGGAGGCTGCAGCTACAGTCCAGGATGGCTGCCTTCGCAGAACATGCTGTCCAAAGGACAGCACGGTCAGAGCAATAAGATGTTCAGACTTTCTGACAAGAAGTTGCCTTGATTTGAAGACATCCTACAGAATTTCAAGTCTCTGATAAAAATCAGAGACACCTCAGAATAAAAGACAAAATATGTAAATAAAAGTTTAGTAATACCAGAATCAAAAATCCTGTTTTCCCATGCATTTGTGATTGATTGTGATTCCCATCATTATGCTTGATTGATTCACGCTACAATACGGTACAAATTCTGACCAAAGTACTTCCCCAGAGTCAGTTTTAAGATTTCCCTCCTAGATTCCCCAATAAGGAACAAGGTATTAGATCACATGGCAGCCTCTTCTTCAGGGCTGAGGGTACTTTTGTATTTTCTTCCCATACAGAATTATTCTAATGCAACTTTCAGAAATGTAATTCTTCCCTGGATCTCCAGTGACTTTTTTTTTTACTGATATATGGGGAAGAGAAATGGAAGAGGTAAAGGTACAAAACAAAACTGCAGTCTCCTTCTTTTAGGAAATCCACATTAAAAAGTTGAAAAAAAAGAATGACAATAGTAAGTGTTACACAGCTTGACATCAGTGGTATTAATATTCTTCCTATAACATAAGCTTACTATCTACAGAATCATTTTACCATTTCTAACACACCTTAACATCCTGCTTTTCCTTTTTAAACGCCAGAGAAATAAAAAAAGCTAATATGAAAACAGAATGGAAAACTTACAATTTAGTTTAAAACACTGTAAGTTGTAGTAATAGTTCAAATTATTCTGATGCACATACTTTGTTTTTCAGCCCTGTTCTTTTTTGGCATATATGTAACTACACATCCATACAGCAGAATGCTTTAGTTATGTCACGCTATTACCTCTAGCTCCATGACGATTTGTACTGTCCATTGAAAATTCCTTTTAGTTTATTTCAAATGTGTTTGCTATCTTGGAGTCAGAACACAGACGGAAGAAAAAAGTCCCCCTGAAACTCTTAAATGTGACCCATAAACTTCAAGTACCTATGCAAAAATGAAACTCCATAATTTCTTCTTAATTCAGAGGTCCTATAGTACTTATCCTGGAATCAACAAACTAAAGCAACCCTCCTCTCTATTCTACAGAGGGAAGGCAAAAGTAGTTCTAATGCGAATTAGAAAGTTAACAATTATATTTGATTATCACAATAAATGCTGAAGAACATGATATCATGTACATCTACATGATTTAGATGATGTATGGTAGTCTGGCACACATAGAATTCATTATTAAAGAGTACAGATGCTCCATTTTACAATCTTTTTCCAAGTACCCTTTCAGCACATTCCCAGCCTTAGCTCATTCTCACCAAGATTTCCATCCTCGATGGTCAGCACCACTTCATCCATCACCAAGGCCCGGAAATCTAGCTCCTCTTCACAGCACTTGGCCTTCAGTGCTCTCAGGATCTCCTGCTGAGGGTAATCTTCTCTGATGCGACGGTCTGTTAAGAACCACAGCCTGGGAGCAACTGAACTGCACATCTTGGACTTGTCCTGCAACCTTCAAGGTTTCCTTTCAATGGAACTTCTAGATGGTGGAGAAGATGAGACTCTGTTAGAGTACATAGGCTCCTATCTTCATGTTCCCCACTGTACCAAGTCCTACTCCCTCTGCACGGGTCAGTCCTTTTCAATGGAGTGCAACTTCCAAACTCCAAGTGGGAAAATTATGTCTACGTCTAATCTGCAACAGAAGTAACAACAACAGAAACAAATCCATTTACATTCAATGGAATGTAAATGCTAAAAATCAGGTCTTGGTCCTGATCCTAGTTTCATCCACAAGAAGTACACGCTTGACATAACTACTGGTACTGGTAGTAGCATCCCCCTTTCTTGACAGTACGAAGAGGCATGCCAAGGACCGAAAACATTTTGAATGGCCACCTCTGAAGGCCAGAATTTCAACTTCACGATTGGGATAATTCCTTACAATTGGACGTAAGTCAGCCCCTCTCCTAGGTACTGCTAAAACACCAGTGACAGGCTTGATGTATCCCTTCCCACCATATATGGAAGACAACAAATTGTGCCAAATTCTCTATGTTAAAAAAGCAGTCCAGAAGAAAGGAAGAAATCCATTAGAACAGAATTTTCCACATAAGTACTTCAAGACTGATGTACTCTTACAAATACTTCACATCTACTGTGAAATATATTTAGTATTATCCAGAACATATTAATGGAAAAAACAGTGGAACAAGGAGCATCAACAAGATGTTAAGAATACCGAACATTAATACATGTAACCCAAAGCAAAATCAAGGTTTGAATCTCAGTGCTAGCCCTTTCTTGCTCCAAATTTTTTTTTTTAAATCACCTTTATACATAAACAGCACTAATGAACTCAGCACCAAAACCAGAAAAAAACAGTTCAAACTGAAGAGTTTCAATGGTGCTAGAAGTGATAACAGCAAGGTACTGCTCCTTTTGCTTTGAATGCAGAGGACCTGGACTGTTTTTTACTATATACTAAAATATTTTAAAAGCTGTAAAACAATTAGAAGTACATTAATGGACTATCCATTTACACTCACGAAAAACAAGAAGCAGCATGGTGTAGGG